TGCCCCATCCCTGGAAGTGTCCAAGGCCAGGTTGGACGGGGCTTGGAGCAACCTGGGCTAGTGGGAGGTGTCCCTGCCCATGGCAGGGGGTGGAATGAGATGATCTTTGAAGTCCCTTCCAACCCAAACTTTTCTGTGATTCTGTGATACTAAAACAGAATTCAAAACAAGTTTCCCTTCTGCACCAGATTTTAGGAATTCAGGCCCTCCTTTAATCTAGAGGATGGTTCTCTCATCTTCATTCTGTTGCAGTGGAGACTTCCTTCCTTTGTGTGCTGACAATGTCCAGTGTGTCTGCTATACCCAGAACAACAGATATTGCTTAAATTATCTTCTGTAAGTTTATTTTTGAAGACTTTATATTCCTCTGTTAGTTACTCATTCCAAAATGGCAAGTGATTGCAGCTCATTGATCCCAAGTGAATGAATTGCTTTGAAGATTAAAAATAAAAGCTTGAAAATCCCTGTTTTGTGTTCGTGGAGCATACCAAATGAGAAGGAATCAAAACTGACTTATGACAAGTTGGTGGTTGAGCCCTCTGTGTGATACATCCTTGCAGCATAAACAGCAGCCAAACCATTTTCTTCATGAGACACCATCTCTTTATCAAAGAACTTTAATTCTTTTCGCTGTGTGCAGGGGATTTGTCACCATGCTGGAATTCCCTAAGCAGCTTGGTTTCTCTGTTTCTAGATGCCAGTTTATGTCATGGGCATCACCAGCAGTCAGACCCCTTTCTCTTTTGGCAATGCTGTGCCAGGGTTAACGTTCCACTGGTCCGTCACAAAGAGGGACACTCTGGATGTCAAGACAAGGCACAGTGAGGTAAAATGTGTGTGTGTGTGTCCCTGCCTGTGTGTGTATGTTGGGAAAAGGGAACTGCCACATAAGGGGAATGGAGAAGGTGGTGTTGCCTGCACTCTGAAAATCCCTGAGTGATTGTCAGCTCTGGGGGGGGTATTTCCTCTGTAGCAGGGTCTGCTCTTCCCACAAGTCACATTTTAATCCCTTTCTCCTGTCCCAAGGCTTCTTTTCAGCTTCCTGCAAAATACAACTTTGCAGTGGATGTTTATGGCAGAGTAAAGGGAAGAACAGGCCTCAAAGTAGTTGTGAAGGTCCTGGATCCTGCAGCCAACCAGTTCTACAACATGGCACGAGAGCTGTCCGATGAGATCCAAATTCAGGTAGGATGCTTTTCCTCACCGTTAGTGCTTAAATATCTATTTCAGAACTAAATTCAAGTCTGTATTTGAAGTCAGGAATTTGAAATGCAAAGGAGTAGCTCCAGCTTTGGTTAATCTTTGAGCCCTTACTCTTTTTTGTGTAATGTTCCTCATGTGAGCTTCAGTTCACGGGCTCAGCCTTGGGGGAGTCTAAAGTGCCTGGTGAATGTGGGGTCTCCAGTACCATTTCACTAGAGAAGCCTTCTGTTTTCATGCTGCTTCTTAGTTTAGCCATAGCCCTGGAAGTAAATGCTCTTCAGAGTAGTTTGGATAAGATACTGCCTCTCCCATTCTCAGATATTCATATTCAGTTGTCATTTTTCACCATATATATTATCAAGGGAAAAAAAAGTTGTTACAGTTCTATTTGTGTTTCATTTGTTTTGAAGATTAAATAAACGAAGTAAATTCCTTGCTGGACACAACAGTAAGCTAAAATGCCTCTTATTTTCCAGGTGTTTGAAAAACTTCACCTAGTCACTCCAGGAGTGGAAGCAGAGCAGATCTTAATGTCACCAAATTCCTTTATTAAACTTCGGACAAACAGGTCAGTGAGCAGTTTTCACACTGACTTGTGTCAACACTTCATTAGAACCTTAAGGCAGGTCTGGTGGAAGGAGCTGTCTCAAAAGGAGTCTTTTAAAAGAGTATCACAGTACATCCATTTAATACACAACTTATCTGGTGATTAATAGTATCTTATCTGTTCTCTTGGGCTTTGTCAAATCTTGTCTTAGATTGTGGCTAGAAAAGACGTTCGGTATTGGGAACTTTTCAGATGCTTATTTGAAAAGCTGCTGAGCCAGTGAAAGCAGTAGCCTGCTCCCAACAGAGGTTTTGATGGGTGATTGAGGCTTTATGGAACATACTTCTCCGTATTTCTTACACAGAGGCTCTGGCTGGATTTGCAGATTAAAATGTCATTTCCAAATGAGAAATTCTTTTTACATAATCTGTTTTCAAAGACTGACATTTCAGACTCATCTCAGGCTTGAAATGTGATTTTGCCAGCCTAAAAATGTGCAGATACAGACAGTAGGACACACACTGAGGGCCAGGCTTTAGGTGCATTTATTTCTTAAGGGGAGGGAACCCTTGGTTTCATAAAATCACAGGCTGGTTTGGGTTGGAATGGACCTTAAAGCTCATCCAGTGCCACCCCCTGCCAGGGCAGGGACACCTTCCACTGGCCCAGGTTGCTCCAAGCCCCCTCCAACCTGGCCTTTAGCTGGAGCTCCAGTGACTGTGGTCATTCAACCTCTGCTTTTGAAGCAGTTACACAAGAGCACTGGCATTGGTAGTCACTGGTGGTGTTCTGCTCTCTCTTCTGAGGAGTTTTTCTGATTAATTAGTCATTAAGTTGCTAGATATCAGTTTGTACATGTCTTTGTCCCAGTATCTTCACTAGCCAGTCTTGGAGCCCTTATGTCTGAACTCCCACCAGAACAAATTCCACTGTTGCCAAGAAAAGGGCAACTAAAATGCAGCTTTAAAGTTTTTTTTCCTGGGCTAAATTAGAGTATTTCTATCTATTTCTATATGGAGAAGCTTGGGAGGGGGAAAAAAAATCATTTACTGATCTGTTAGAAGTGATACTTCAAGGCAGTTAATGTCTCAGAATGCCCACTAATTGCAGTTGATGGATTTGCTGACTGTATTAATATGCAAATACCATGGTGAGAGCTATTCCAAAAATTAACCTTGTCTACAAAACCACTTCCAGGAAACTGAGGAGATCCACTTAATCAAGGCCCTGATCTTCTCTATTACCAGCATTGGCCCTGCCAGACTAACTTCCCTGTGTTTGCAGAAAGTGATGGCAGAGGCTGGTTGGTGTAGCCTCAGATGGAATTATCTGGAGTCACCTTTGCTTCAGTGGATGGAAACTAGATTTCAATACATACCTAAACCCAGAAAAGTCTTCAAGTGAGCTTGAATCAGAACTTGAACTTTGCTTTCTTAGACTAGAACACAGATTTTGCTTTTTTTTTTTAATTGGAGACATGTGGAAAAACCCCATATAATTAAGAGTCTTTTAGATTTGCGTAAAATATTGGTGTAAAGATGGTTTTCCTCATTTAAAGGCTTCCTTGCTTTTTGTTTTTCTGTTTTGTTTGTTTGCTCTTAAGGGACCGAGTGGCTTCCCTGAGATACCGTGTCCTAGAGGGACCAGATAAAGTTCCTGTGGTGAGAGTTGATGAGAGAGGTTTCCTTAGGTCTGGGTCTTTGACTGGAACATCAACACTGGAAGTGATTTCCCAAGAATCCTTTGGGACCAACCAGACTATCGTGGCTGCTGTTAAGGTACAATCAGCTCTCTTTGCAGTTTCCTCAAGTACAGCTTCACCTCTGCAACAGGGACTGTGGCTGCACATCCTGAACTTCACTTCTGAAGTCAGCTCTGAGCTTTGGAAAAAAGTTTAGTGTACTAAACTTAGATGGATAAATATTAAATCCCAGCAAATTCTTACATTTGGTACATTTTGCAAAAAAAGCTTGTGTGTGCATGTGCTTTAAAATCTTTTTTTTAAGGAAAGTTTGTCCTAAAAATCTCTTAGAAGGCTGATAATTACAGAAGTTCAGAGTAAAAACAAACCAAAAAAGTTAACGTCATAAACATGCATTTTGCAGTGTGTGAAAAGGTAAATATCATCTGGAGTCATGAATATAAAGGCAGCATCTGCTGTGAGGTACCTAAGCAATACCTAGATTTTTATGATATTAGAGATGCAAGTGTACAGTGCCCCCCAAATTTTTTTTTCTGCTGTTTTCCAGCAGTTCAGCCTTTGCAGGGAATGAGAATCTGTATGAGAGAGCCTGTCTTAGCAGAGGCAGTGATTTATCTGCTGTTGGCTGTGTGTGGTGAACTGGCAAAGAGTGTGTGCAGGGCTGCCCTGGGAGCCTGAACCAGGCAGTGGGGGTGCTTTGGGGCAGGATAAATCTGGCACAAAACCCAGCTTAGGAAACATTTTTCTCTCCCAGAACTTCATCTGTTGATGGAATGCTGTCATGGGAAGTGCGATGTATCTCACTGGCTGGGCACTTGGGGCACAAGGGAACATCTGTCCATCATCTCTGCTCAGAAATCCCTGTGCCAAGAACTTTGTGCATCTGGCAACATGAGCCTTGAGATCAGCACTGCTCCACTGCCTCCTGTCCCTTTTTACTGTCCTTGGCATCTTCCCTGTGCCCCAGCTAAAGGAGAAGGACATACAATTGAGTGCTGACTTGAAATTATTTGGAAGTTGGACTCCTGTAATCACTGTGAGGTGGCTCAGTGGATTTTTTTATTTGAATTTTGTTTTTTTCCATCATGTCCAGCTTTGCCTGTAGGACAGTGTGTAGATGTCCTCCTGGATGGGAGTGAGTCAAGGAGTGGGGGCTGCAGTGTCACTGCTGCCTCTCCTGCTGGGAGGTGGTGGCAGGGAATTTGTCCAGCTCTGTTACAGCTGACCTTGTTCCTTTCCTTCACTGCTGGATCCAGGTAGTGAAGGACACCTAATGGCTTTGGGGTTGGCTCCAGTGACATTTAGTCAGCACACAGTGGGCCTGGAGTTAAATCCCCCTTTGTGAGTCCGTTCTGTGCCCAGGATCTCACAGAGCTGTGCAGTCAGTGCGTGGGGATGTGGAGCTTGGGAGCTCTTTGAAGTAGGACCCACCTCAGCTCAGCCTCTTGTACAGCTCGTTTGTTTGCCTGTACTTATTACAACCCTACTGCTTTTATGGAAACGATCTTTTTAACCTCCCAGTGCCTTTGTGAGGTAACCCAGTGCTGCTGGTTCATTTTATGGCTTAAGAACAGAGAGAGTCAGAGAGGTTTTGCCGAAGGTCATGTCAGAAAACTTGTGACAGAGCTGGGGACGAGCTGGAATCTGTTGTGTCATTCCCAGGCAAAGCTCTCTCCTTCACACTGTCCTTCTTTCATAAGGGCTGGTGTTGTCTCTTTACAACTGTACACAATTAAGAACCAAACTGCAGCAGTGGCATCACTTAACACTTAGACCTTCAACTTTGCTCAGAAAAAAGACTCTTACATAAGGCAGGGGAAGCAGGGAGTGACTGTGCTCAGTGTGGAAGCAGCAAAGCACTTGCCTGGCCCAGCTGTACTCAGGATTTTTATTTTAATAAAAGAAATACTTCACAAACTGAGATGCTTTAACAGTAAAGTAGCTGTTTTCATCAATATTAAATTTAGCAGTTGTCCCTTGTGGGACAGTTGCTGAGATTTTAAAGTAAAGCAAGCTTGAAGATCTGTCAGGGAAATGGGTTTTTTGTTGGCTTGTACCCTCAGCTCGTTGGGCACAGGTCTGTGCACTGAGACTTTAACTGATGATACCAGCCTGGAGCACACAGTTGTGTGTACTGATATTTTAGCCATTTTTTTTGGATTCACCAAAGATGTATTTTGCTTGAGGCCAAATTTGTCCTTTCCTTTTTAAGTTCTGACATGTACATTTTCAGATTGCAGAGTTTTACATTTTAGCTGAGCCTCTTAGGTCAGAAAAAAAGGGATTTTCCTGCAAGATAAGCTTGAGGGCTTCTTTTAAAATAGTTTTCTCAATATATTTGAGGGTTTTTGCTTTCTCTGTCCTTCCATTATTTATTTTCCAACAGCTGTAAGAGAAGGAGCAGATAGAGATATTTTTGTTGGGTAATTTTCCTAGTTAACCTAGGGAAGTTAATCAAGAACAGCAATGTGCTATTTAAAAGCCAGAACAATAGGTTGTGAAGTCTCTGTCTTCAGAAAAACTTCCCTCAGTGGAGTGTTACTGCAAAAACGTGGGTGGTGCACATGTGGGTAATGTAGCAGGCTCCTGTAAGGAGTTTGGAGCAGTTCCTAACTTGTGTCTGGGCTGAGGAGAGGCACTGAGGGAACAAACCCCAGCCTGCTGATCCTTAGGGTTTGGCAGCTCTGACTGGAACACCTTGGCTTCCTCACCTGATACAAGGGAACTGGGAACAGGGACCATTCCATCCCTGGGAACTGGGAACAGGGACCAGTCCATCCCTGGGAACTGGGAACAGGGACCAGTCCATCCCTGGGAACTGGGAACAGGGACCAG